GTTAAAAACTAGTTTCTAAAGGCATTGGCTTCTCAGTGTGCATCATCTGAAGCCAGTGGGAATTGGAATGATTAGCATCTTGCAGAACTAATCCAATTACAGCTCAGTTCTGTAAGATCTGCATTTCCTGAAGCACCAACAGACAAGAACGATTCTCAACATCTATTTAACATTTACACCACTGTTCCTTAGATGACGCACAAGAGACTGGCGGCTCAGACGCCAACAGTGAAGTTGGGACAGTCCAGTGGGCACAGTCTGATTCCGACTGCAGTCCTTTTTTTGGGCAGCAGTTTTTTTCTCACAAGGTACATGTGCATACTCCAACTCACAGATCCACTTAGTGGAGGTACTTCCAGACCAATCAGCATGACACTTCACTGAAGCTTGGCTGTTTGTATTGAAGTAAGAAACGCAGCAGAGTTTGGGGAATTCCTACCTACTGAGGATGCAAAACTCTTGAATCCTTCATGCACGGTTCCTGTTGACTAGCCCTTGAAACATAAAGTTTTAACACCTCACAAGACTTTTTAGACGTTTCAAGTTTAGATATTTTAAATTAAAGGCTGACACTAGCAAGCTCTTTAAAATGCCAGACTTTTTCCTTCTGTTAGCATCAGATCACAACCATGAGATAATTAAAATGGAATCCTTGTCTGTCCACCCCTTGCTTGGTCCTACTCCGGCCCTAGTCTGGTTATCTTTTTGTCCCAGCTGCACAGTGGTTTCTGACTTACACGGTGCATCACATGTGCCTCGGTGGTATTTTTCTCACTGAACATGTCATCTGCCTGGTTAGCTGGATTCCGCAGCTGCGTGTTGGTTTTCGTCTTTGTCCCTGTGAATCAGATGCAGAGGGCACTCGGCAGAAACAGGTGACCAAACTACAGCTCTTGGGCTGGGTTAATATGCTTGAGGCTGTGCAAAAAACAGGAACAGGAGTGCTGAAAGGCTTTTCCAAAGCTACACACAATTTCTAACCAACACTCAACAAGCACCAAATTCACACAACTAAGTAGTTAGCATTCAATATTCCCTAAAGACAACACCTGGACACAAGCAGTCCAAAGGGTTGTTGTACAGCCTGACTCCAGAGAGCAGTTCTACAGTCCTCTAGGCATCACCCTTCCCGTTTCTGCAACACTGCACATCGATTTTGTACCCACTTAATGCCGTGTTCAGGGTACTCAGCATCTCTCAAGCAGTTATATCCTCCCTCACACACCCCCTACAAACCACGCTCCACATTTTGACCAGAATAGGGTGGCAGAGCTCAGCCTTTACACATCGTACAGCCAGACGTGTGCCATACACTTCATCAAAATCACTTCCCCGAGCCCCATGAGCTTCAGCCACCAAGGAATATGTTTCTACAGGAAACTTAAAATAAAAAGGTTAAGAAGAAACATTGAGTTAAAAGTTTTATTCATTCAACATCTCACATTACAAATATTTAAAAATTATATGCATACTGGTATAAATAGTCATTTGCAAACTATTTAATAACATTAATTTTCACTAGCACTTCAACAAATGAACTCTTTAAAAAAAGTAACTTGTGTTATATAACTTAGAGTAGAACATACAAAAATATGAACTTAAACGTGAAAATGACTTTAATAAAAAATGAATTACCCTTATTTAAAATGCTATAATAAATACTACAACCTCCCCATACACAGTAAAAACTATATGGAAATTCAGCCAAGTAGTACAATTAACTGACATACTTAAATAACTTTTCCTTCTGATAATATGAGCAATACATTGGGGGAAAAACATATTAGGGATTAGTAAAAACTAGACACCCACTTGCTAAAAGTTTCACTTCCAAAAAATATAACAAAAAAATCTGATGAAAATTATAAAAACTAATTATACTTTAAAATTTAAAAATATAAAAAATAAAACAGTTGAATACAATATTGTCCCAATTCTTACAATGCTATCACAGTAGCTTTAAAATAAGATAATAAAATAAAGCAAATGACCAAAACCTTTTATTCCATTTTTTTTTTAAAAATAATCTCAAAGTTACATTAGTAGAAAGATTGATTTCTGATTCTTTTCTTTAGAAACACCAGCAAGAAAGAGGATTTACTAGAACAGTAGAAAATGACATTTTTAAATGTCTGCAATTAAAAACAAAGAATTACACTGCAAAGATCTTCCAGAAGTCTGAAATAGGTATTGCACATAACTTGAAGTTAACTTGCCACAATTCATCACATTCAAGTTTTAAATCACCTTTTAACAGAAGGTTTTAACTCTTCAAAAACAAAAGGGGTGAATTATCAAGTCTTTCCAACAGCATCCTTATAAAACGCTAAATTCATTCACTGCAAGTTTTAAATTTGCATTCTGCAGAGGTCTGTGTATGGAGAAGCACATACTATACCAAAAAGCACGGGGCAGTGGGGTTCCTTTACATACAAAATAATCAGAAACACTTTATTTTACATTGCAAAAATAACCATGTAATTACTCTGTAACTACATTGTAAATACATGGCCAGTGCCATGCTCGTGTGATAAAACCACATGCGCGTTAACCCCCTTGCAAATCGAAGTGATACCCTACGACTGGGAACCCAATTACATGTTAATTACGTCTGGAGCTACACGGTAACCCCAGCTACTAATCCCATGTAATCAGAAGGACATGTAATCACTACTTAAGTACAGAGTAATGTATATAATTGTTTATGCCCTGTAAATCGAAGTGTAACCAAATAATCTGTAAACACGCTTGTCACACAATCACAAGTGGATATTAGTAGAATAACAATTTCTTACATTAGTCATGCATACTAACATTACATGCCTGCCACCTAGCAGGCTCTCTTTTATTCTTTAAATATAATTTAAAAGAGCAGACACATTTCTGCATCAAACACCTAACATCAATTTTTTTTCTTAATATTAAAAATGGCTAAACATTCACCAAAAACGTCTGCATTTGTGTATAATTTTTAAAAACTTAGTAAGAAGCGGTAGACAATTTTGATGTTTCTTTACTTTTAAACTTCTACACTATACTTATGCATTTAAATTTCATGGGTCTAAAGACAGCGTCATTTGTCACTTTCATGCTTTTCTTCTTTAATTCTCAACTTTACATATACTATTTCTTAAATTATATGTACACCAAATACCTGGTGCTGGGCTAAGATGTTTAAGCAACATGCTTTCTTTTCTCTGCAGATTCTAAAATAGCATTGCCAGTGCACAACATCCATAATTCAAAATGTATGCAGAGCACTGAAATGTATAAAAAGCAGAATATAAGAAAATAAAATTTATTAAAATTATTTATATTAAAAAATGAAGTATATGAAGATCTCTCAGTAATAAAAGTACAAAAAGCTACTCTTTGCAATATGAAAAATTGAGGTATTGCATAAAGAGATATCCCGTCAGTGAAAAGTGTGCCTAAAAATGCTCACTGTTGGAAAAACAAGATATACAAAAGTAGTGCATAACAAATATACATTATGTGCATGACAAAATAAGTTAGCTACAAAAACACTGTACCGAAATTCAGCAGGTCATGTACAAAGGGAAAATTATTATTCAAAGCTAGTTCTCAAACAGTGTTATTTCTTGTAATGGTAACCCATTCTCACCTGTTTACTGGGTAGGATCGGCACAATAGCACACCCCAAGCCACCTACAAGCATTAAAAAAAGTAAAGGAACATTCCAACTATAATTATGTACTTCAGAGAAAAAAAAGTCCCTGACAATCTACACAAGAGCACTCTGCGTTTGCATTACTGTTGTCAATATTTTCAGGGATTTCATTAAAAGCAGCTCCCTTTCTATACTTGACTAGTAGACAGCAAATGTCTCCATTTTGACCTTTGGAACTTGGTAAGGTATAGTTCATTAAAGCCTGTATTGAAAATAAAAACTGCTTCTCATAAAGATAATCTTGGGCTGGGGGAAGGGGATGAGGGGGGCCGACAAAGGCTTTCCACGGAGCAGATGTTTTCCAAGCAGTGCTGAGGCAAGTCTTTGGTTTGAGAGAATCTACGATGGTACCACGCCGCCCAGGCAGTTTAGAAGATTGCCACTAAATTTGTTTGCTTGCACACTGCCGAAAAATCACTTGAGAAGCTGGCCAGGGCATTAGTTCAAAAGTAACAAAAATCATTTCAGAACTACTCCTTCATTCAACTGTTTCAAACTACACCCCTGCACCCACTCTTTATCATTCAATTAACATGCACTGTGTTAATGCTTCTCAAGGTAGAACTTATTCATAATAAAGCAGGCATTAACGTAGCAATGTTGGCACTTCAAATACCTGTGTTTCTTTATTTCCCCATATTAAGTTCTGAAGAGGTGGAATCTTAGTTGGGATTCTTTCTACAGGAAGAGTAAGCAAGGCATATGCACACTTGCACCATTTCATGCCCAAATTCAGAAAATAGTGCAAAACAAGACTTGGAAACTACTTATGTTCATGCCTTCTGTTACAACTAAGTTAGAGGGTATTTAAAACTAAGTTTACATCCAAGATGGGAAACAAATAAGCAGCCAATTTCAGTTTGTGTGACACAATGGAATATCAAAACTTCAGTAAAAATCGGTGATATCCTTGAGGTATCTTTAGGTTTTCTACTTTTTCACGTCAAAATGGAGAGCAAAGGCTGGCCCCTGATGAATGTTAGTATATTAGGATATAGAGTTATATATAGCCATCAAAAATAAAATCTATATATTTATCCTTCAGGAGAGGAAATGCCAGTTAACTAGTTGTCATTACTTTAGCTTTGGTAGGATTTCTAGGGCTGTAACCAGACAATTGAGTTCTCTTAAAGGAAAAAAAGTGCACTCCCCCCTCAGTAGTAACTTTACTCAACTTTTACATTCAGGAATTCTTAAAATGTAATCATTTTGATGAAAATATAGTAAGCTCTGCCTATCTCATTAGTAATTTGGATGTGGGTGGTAGTCAGAGGCACGGTCAGATACGTACTGAGCTAAAATGTCAGCCTCAAAACCCTTAACAGATTTTAAAAGAAGATCATTATTACAATGCTGCTTCAACTTTGCTCATGCATTTTTGTTGCTTTAAACATGCTCTTTCCTGTTGGTAGGTAAATGCTAACTTCATCTGTTGCTGGAAAAATCCGAAGTCGAAATAAAAAGAGAGGCAAAAACAGGCTTCCCTGGGGGAAAAGTGTCAGAACAGACTGATAGTGTTATTGTTACACGGTTATTTTAATAAAAGTATTCTTATGTTCTTTATTAACAATAATTTAATTAAAAAACCAAAATACTCTATTGTTTCAATTCTCTTTTCTTAATATTTTTCTCTCCTCTAAGAAAATGTTGCATGAAATTAAGTGTTCTCCCGGTAGTAAAGACAAGAGAATGCAACTCACTTGCAACATATTATCAATACGAAAAGGAGTTCCCAATACAGTTTTCAATGACAAGATTCTACAAAATACCCATATTATAGGTCATTTTTTCATTATACTATTGTTAAATTACAGACTACTACAAAAGGACATGCTATCTTGAATAAGAGAAAGGGTCGGGTGGGGTAGGGACAATCGGGGTAACAGAAGAGTGCACTTAATTTGAGGCCTGCATATGAGCACTGCAGCGATCGTTTAGTTCCAGCGGAATGAAATATGTCTTGGGCGATCTCCTCCCTCCTTCACCAGGGGCTTGTGGAATTCCCTGCCAGCGCGTGAATGGATAGCAGCCCAGCAATATTCACAGTAATACTGCAGACAGGTAACATTAGCACAGAAAAATGGAGCAAATTTTCCACCGCAACGGGCCCCCTGACATTCATCACAAAGCTGATCATCCAAGACATATGGCTTAACTTCCACCTGTATTCAGAAAATGAGAAGAAAGTTTACAATTCTTAATAACAATGCAGATAATGACAATTCCACTCTATTTACTATGGTGGTCCAGCAGGACTGCGATCACAGTTCTGCAGTAGGGAATGTCACACTCAAGAATTTTCCCCCTCCTTACACAAGATCATCGCCATTAAACACCCAAAACTACAGGCACTTGAGAACCATCCTGTTCCCCCTGTCCTCCTTGATCCTTAAAAATCTCCAGAAACCAACGCTGACCATCGGTATCACACACGCTGTCACTGATTTACAGAAAGGACCGATCAACCTATTGTTACAGAACTGAAACACATATCCACATCAAAGCCCTGGAGAATTCTGGGCGTTTATTTTTAAGTATGGTGACACACAATTAAGCTCCTGCCCTTTCAGGTAGGAATGTAAACTGTTTACACAACACTGTATCTGCAGATTAAATATGCACGTGGTCAGCAAATTTCAATGCCTGAATTTCCAACTTGAAAAATTTTAATTTATCTTAATAAACAGCACATTTCTGTTTTCTTCTTCTGTGGCTTAGTCCTCTCAGCAAAAGGAAACCTACCTGATCTTGTTGGGATCAAATGAGAAGCTCAAAATGAGACTGAAGGCCACCTACGCTGTTGGCATTAAGGACCAGATGATGAGCAGTAATTCAGTACAGCACACAAGAAAGGAGAAGAAAAAGTTCTTCAAGTTCTTAACCGATAATGACTCACAGGAACTTACCAGCTGGTGCTCCAAGGACACATCTACACTGCAACATCTGCAGGCTACTAGCTTTTAATCTAGGCATTTGCATACCAAAACCAAGGCTGCTGTACTGTGGGCTCCAAAACCCTGCTCGCAGCACTCCACAGCCTTTCTCTGTGACAGCGAGGCAAAGCTTGCTGCTCACTGTATGCGAGCTGGCTAGAGCACAGCCCGTTTAGACATGCCCATGTCTTTAAATCACAACTGCAGCACTGCCATCCCCTAAAGGCCCAGTTTCACCTCCAAACCAGTAATCACTCCACTCCCATTTCTTTGCTCCACAGAACTGTGAAAGGTCCATGCGACACATCGGGAGCGCAACACAAAACTTCATGTTAAAAAAGTATAGGTACAAGTCCCTGTTCTAGAAGTGTTTGTGAGTCTTCTCTGAAGCTCATGTCATCAGGTGTTTTCACAAACATTTCCAAATATCCAGACTGCGACTGATGTTGCCTCTGTTAACCTGTTATCTCTGCATCTGGCTTAGGGATGGTCCTTTCCGTACCTCACAAGCCTCAGAGGTATGCCAGCTCATTCCAATAAGGACATTCACAAGCTCCTGTGTTTTTAAACTTACCCAATTTTATCACAGTCCAGAGAGGGCACTGCAGTAGTTTCATGTCATTTGTGCTTACAGTACAGATAAACTACTTGGAGACAGTACAGCAGCCTTTTTTTCGGCCTCAGTTTTTCTCCTCTTCCACTGCTAGAGTTGTGTTTCTCAAACATCCCTCCAATGCCAACTCAGAAGAATAAATTATTAAAAGAACAGAGGAAGACAAATATTCCTAACACCACGTTCTACCTGCACCTAGTTTGTGACATAGTGTGAGGCTGGGTATTATTGATTAATGAGTGCTGTGTTCTACAAGCGCTAAGAGGAGAACCCACAAAGATGCTACGTGGGCCTCCTTACCGTGGCAATTCTGCTGCTCCGTTATGTCTCCTTAGACATACTCAGAGGCGAAACTACAGCACAGGTAATTACACCTCCGTTTGCTTTACCCAGTTATTGCAGCACTGGTTTTTGTGCAAGTTTGCAACACGTAGACATTAGTCAGAGTCCTCAGCACATTTGTTCAGTGCGTGCTGAAGTGCGTGTGCCAGACATGTCCCGCCATTGTTCCTTGTGCTGGGTGCATCAAGGTTTCCCACATGCAGAGAACTCAAATTACAGCAATTTCATCGGGCACGCTTCGGGTGGCAGCACTCAGCAGAGGCTCTGCAGTGGTGGGTGCTGCAGGCCACTGAGCATTTGATTTGCATTATCTCTTTGAAGGGAACACCCTTGAGCAGCACCTGCTTGCCCAGTTTTACAAGAAATCCCTTCTTGTTACTAATTTCATTTTTATAATGAACTAATTTTATAATGAATCCTCTGAGCACTTATGTCCCCACATTTCTTCTGAACTACACACAAAATGTGGAAATGAGGAGCGTGAGGAGAGAAGGAAGGGGAAATAGATTGCAAAATCTTTGCTAGAGTTCTCAAGTACTTACTCAAATTTGTAGTCCCACCAGCTTCAATGGACCTATTCACCCAAGTGTCTGCTTATGCAAGCAGAAGTTGCACAAGGGCGGCCCAAATTATTTGCTCAAAGCCATAGAGAACTTATTTCAGAGCCAAGATTAGAACAAAGACATTCCAATTCGCAGGCCCACAGTCAAATTGTTGTTACAATTCTTCTACCCAAGCTTTATAGCCAAAGCAGAAGTGAAATGATAATCAGCTAACCAGCCAAGTTTAGGGGCTTTCCTCTGTACTAATTATAAAATTAAGATCAATAATGACAGTCATGTAAGAAAAATCCAGAGATGAAGCATGAATTAGAGAGAACAGTAGATGTAAGGATCCGAGTTTCCCAAAACTGTGGCCTGAAGATCACTGTTATTGGCAAAGTTACATTTTATATAGACGAGAGGGCAGAGGCAAGCAAACTGCAGATCCATTCCTTTAATTTGTAGTACTAAAGGAATACAATTAAGAGACACAGCCTTTACATAAGCTGTGGAGGATGACTGAGGCTGTAATGCACCCTAACGAGTTTACAATGCATTACTATGATGCTGTTTAGGAACATCCAGCACGAAATGTGTAACACTGGGGCCAGATTCTGCCCACTCTCTCAAAAGATGCAGAACAAGATAAGAACTGCTCCGTCCTTGGCAGATACCTTACTCCCTGACATTATACAAACACTACAAGTGCAAATACTTGCAGTGGGAGTATATGACGAGTGCAATATTCTTACAAAAGGGCAAGGCAGCTGACATGCTTCCCATTATGCTAAGCAATCTGAGAAAGTCTGCTTCACAGTTGCCTCCCACGTTCCAGAAGCAACAGCTCTGTACCACTCCTTCATTTTTATTCGGTGTTGTATTGAAGTGGCACAATCTAGCCCTAAATATGCAATTAATCTGATATAACATTTACAGTCTTCACAATGACACATTTACATGGAAAAGCATTTCTAGAGAAAGCACTGAGCAGAAATAGAACACGCTTGAAGACCTTACCCGTTTATCTATCTCTCCATGCTGCAGCTGAACAAAGCGAGCACTGATAGCAGCTATGTAACTCTGTTGATTAGAAAACGCAACCCGCCCAGCTCCTTTTGGGTACTTCAGCTCAGGGTCGGTGTCAATTCCAGCGTAGCACACCCCTCCATACAGCCGATCCATTATCATTGCAAGTTCCACTAAACCAGAAAGGAAAATGAAACAGTGGCGCAGACTCGGTAATTTTTTCTAAAAGCATCAAATGAAACAGTCCATTTGCATTCATGTCCCCCGCCATAAATGTCAAGAACACTTAATGCTTCCCGTGCTGGAATAACTTGTGTCCCGCCTTGCTCCCCACATCAGACTGCATTCTCAACACGCCCAGTGCTGCGGGACACGCAGTGTACCTGCTCGTAAAGGCCGAGGAACGCCACCAACAAAAATGGTTTTTCGTGGGTCAAGAGGCTGTGAACCATCCATAACAAAATCACTATCACTAAGGTTCCAAGGCCGGATCTGAACCTGTGGACAAAAAGCCTTTTTTTTTTAACCACTCACAATTCGAAGTATCTCAGTAATATAAATTAAAGCAGTATCCTACAAAGAAGAAAACGTCTTAAACAGCTGTATTTTCCAAACTCATTTTCTGTTCATTCAGCAGTCACTTCTCGAAATGAAACAGTAATAAGCTCTCTTAAGACAGACCACTTGATCATACTCAATTTCACCACTTCCTTGTTAGCCAAACTTCTGGGAAAAAGCTCACCCTCTACTTCCATATTTCCTTCATCATGCCTGCACTGTGCTGCATGAACCACATCGCTGCTGTTCGCACTGTGCCAGGCAAGGGTCAGCGCCAGACCAGCGTTATCTCAGTGCAGCAGCCTGCAGGGCCCAAAGCTGCATGTTTATTTACCATGCAAAACTAGCTGCCTTATTTTTGCCTGCAGCTGGCCAAATTTGAAGTACAGAACTACAGCAGAAGTCTCTCCAACTATTAGCAGACTTGCCTCAGCCTCAAAACCGTTTGTGCTAATAATTTACAGTTCAACGTCACATTATGGCTTTTTGGATTTAATTTGTCTCTGTCAAAACATGTTACATGCAACACTCAAGACAATATGAATTCTACGTTTTAATTAATAATAAGCATAAAACATCTGTTTGGAAATGTATTTATTACATCAGCAATGGTGAAATTTAGCATTTTTCTAACAAAAATACGAGTTGTAACTAGACTAAAAAACTTCATAATGTCTAGTTTAAAAATAAGTAAGTTGGTCTTCTCTTTCAGAACTTAATTTGACGCCTTGAAGAAATTTAAACATTAGCACTCTGAAGACAGACAAAAGGAAAAAATGCATCTGAAGAGAACAATTTCTAGTTATCACACAGGAATTGTGCAGACCCTGACAATTCCACCTACCGGTTTGTCTTTGATAGTGGGGCTGGAAACACAAAGATAGAGCTTTCCATCTTCTTCAATACATGCATCAATCAATGCCTGTACAGAGCTTTCATCTTGGAACAGTAAAAATGCATATCCTACAAAAGGGAAAACAAACATACAATTTCTTTTGCCTTTTTGCCTGTAGGATAATAATTTAACTCAGAATCATGCTTGGCACCATGTCACCATACAGTAAGGAACAAACTTTAAGATGCTCTCACACATTTCCAACCAGACCTCCTGCAAGTCCTCTGCAGAGACACGAAGGAAAGCAGGGAGCTTGCTGATCAGCACCCTCTCTCCCCATTTCCTTTGAAAAAGATAAGCCAGCAGGATGAACTGAACAAAAGCCACAGCTGTAGAGGGAAACCTGCCAGAATGGTTGTTAATATAAGGTACAAATCCTTCCCAGCTTCCATTGAGGGCATTTAGGTCCTTTAAAGAGGACCAGTCTTGACTATTATTACAAAAATGAGGAACAACAGAGGGAAGAAAAGAAAAATGAAATAAAGTAAAACCAGGAAGTTAAGGAAGAATTCTTTTAGTGCAGAATAATCACAAAGCCACATTCTAAATTCCATCAGTTTATAACAATCCCAAGGATTCAATTTTTTTCCCCAAAAAACATTGGGTCACTGTCACAAAAATCTTGTCTAAAATAGCCTTATCCAGAAAAATGATTCTAAAATGCTCATATGTTATTGGTTATCAGATATTTACCTTTAGGAGGAAAATAAGATTTGCTCTCTGCCTTGTGTGGCCAGTCTACAATCAAAGGTCCAAAGCGACGAAAACTAGCAGTGATCTCATCTGTAAAGAGAGAAGGGAAAAAGAAATTAAATGAAATGAAAAGAAATTAAATGGAAGACAATTTGAAGAGCGCTGATTTCAGGTAGCT